GCTGTGATTGTTGTTGGCAGGACCACTCTCTGCCTGTCCTGCAGTGATGGATGGGCTGCAGGGTTGACAGAATGTGTTGTGCAGTTGTGATGCTCTGGAGCAGGGCAGGGTACAGTGAGTCACATGGTGGCAGGGTTCAACTGTGGCAGCAAATGTTGTGGGTGCCCCTGGTGGTGACAAGGCACACAGCATGGGGTTTGGCTTCCCACAGGGAAGAAGATGCTCTCACAGCTGGGTCCTGCAGGTGCCTCCCCAGTTGGGCAGAGACAGGACCAAGAAAACTGGAAGAGCCTCCCTTTACCTGCCAGGCAGCAAAGTCTGACTCAGCTGGGCAGAGTCAGCATGCACACTGGAGGTGCAAGTAATCTGCCTGGGTTGAGCTGCCAGTGAGGGGGATGGAGCATCTGGAGCTCCTGAGAGTGCTTGACCCATTGGGTTAAGAGAGGACTGGGGAGATATGTCTATCTGTTTTCTCTCCTGTGAAGACAGCTCCATCCATCCCTTGCTCCTAGGGAACCCTGTCTGCTGCTGGAATATCTTTCAAACTGCTGCCTCTGCTTTTGGTCTCAGTGGGACCAGTGGAGCATGTCTGTCCTCCACAAGTTGCTAGAGTATCAGCCTACCAGAGTGTTCCAGCTGTCCCTGGTGTCCAGCCCCACTAATCACCAGAACCCAATGCAATGTGGCCTTGCACTCCCAAAGTATATCTCCAGGGCCAGGTGTGCAGAGTTTCTGGGCACCTATCCCCTCCCCACTCTGTTCCTCTTCCTCCCACCTGTGGGCTGGGATGGGGGAAGGGCCTGGGTCCTGCTCAGTTGTGGCTATGCTACTTTACCCTTTTCTGTGTGGTCTTCTCTTCTTTCCCAGGTGTAGGTGGTGTGCACTGAAGTCTTTAGGTCATTTTCATGTTTGGTTGAATTTGCTATAGTTGCTTCCTTGGTGTGTTTGTGGGAGGAGGTTTCCACCTTGCTTTCCTACTCTGCTATCTTTGTCCCCAATTTCCTCAATCCTGCCTTAATTTTAAAGACTCAGAATTCAACCTGTTTCCATTAGGTTGCTGGCCCAACTGAGCCTACTCAGACTCTCTCCTGAGGCAGGTGCAGGGGTTGGAGGCCCAAGAATGGGCAGTGGCAACTGGGGTATGGTATACAAATAAGAGGGTTAAAAGTATACATAAATAAGGTTCCTCAGAAAACTCAAAATAGAAATACCATTTGACCCAGGAATTCCACTCCTAGGAATTTACCCTAAGAATTTACCCTAAGAATGGAATATTATTCAGCCATAAGAAGTAAACAAATCCTACCATTTGCAACAACATGGATGGAGCTAGAGGGTATTATGCTCAGTAATAAAAGCCAGGCAGAGAAAGACAAGTATCAGATGATTTCACTCATCTGTGGAGTATAAGAACAAAGAAAAAACTGAAGGAACAAAACAGCAGCAGAATCACAGAACCCAAGAATGAACTAACAGTTACCAAAGGGAAAGGGACTAGGGAGGAGGGGTGGGGAGGGAGGGATAAGGGGGG